CCATCAATCACCTTTGTGCAAGTTCCAAATGAAACTGAAGAAAATGAAAATAAGTTCATAAGAACCAAAATATGACCTTGAGTCTATCCTACCTGAATTTAAAAATCATCTCCAGAATAAGTTTGAGGGCATGAAAACAAATGATCAAAGATCAGATCAATTAAGGGATGACATCAAATATGTCAGTGAGAGGAGGAAGAAAAAAATAAAAATCGATGTCAGAAGAGAATCTGAAGACTGCATTAGAGTAACAAGAAACCAGAACAGAAAGGAAAAATGCTCAAGTAAGAGACATGAATAGCAGATTTCAAAGGGCAGCTCCAGAAGATGAAGCCAAGTGTTATAAGGGAATGTACAAAGAGCTCGAGTGGAGAACAAAAATGGAAGAAGTTGCTTGGCTTTTTGAAGCGGAAAGAACTGAAAAATTCAAGTCTCAAGTTACAATACTGAGAGATGCTATGTGAGAAAACGTCGATGATCCAGGAAACATCAAAAGAAGATGGGAGGAATGCACAGAGTCACTGTACCAAAAAGAACTGGTTCACACTAAAAAATGTGGAATTACCATATGAACAAGAGCCAATGGTAATGAAGAAAGAAATTCAAAGCGCACTGAAGGCATTGGCAAAAAATAATGAACCCCAAATCGATGGTATACCAATTGATTTTTTTCATCTAACAAATGCAATCCTGTATATGCTCAGGAAATTCAGAGGCCAGCTGCTTGGCTGACTGACTGGAGGAGATACATATTTGTTCTCATTCAGATCATGGTCTGATTCTGACCATGGTCTTTTAATCACTTGCTATGCATCTGAGATCTGAACTATGAATAAGGATGATGGAAAGAGATTTGATGACTCTGAGCTGTGGTGTGGAGAAGAGTACTGAGTATACTGTGAACTGCCAAAAGAACAGATATGTCTTGGAAAAAGTGCAGCCAGAGGCAAAGATTATGATATTTCTCCACACATAGTCTGAGCATGTTTCCAGGAGAGGATATTCCTTGCAACAGACATTATGCTTGGAAAGGTGGAGGGTCAGTGAAAGAGAGGAAGACCTTCAACAAGATAGATTGACACAGTGACTGCAGCAATGGGTTCAAGTATGTCAGAGCTGATAAGGACTGTATAAGATAGGACAGGATTCAGATCTATTGTTCACAGGGTCGCTATGAGTCATACTTGACAGCACCTAACAACAACAGCAAATAAATGGAAAAATGTCTCATGCTCATAGGTTGATACACTTCCTATTGTTAAGATGTCAAATCTACCTAAAGTAATCCACAGATTCTGCTAACAGCAAATAAAAATGCTAATAACCTTTGTTACAGATATAGAAAATCAACCCTTATCATTATGTGAAATGACAAGAGACTTTGAATAGATACAACAATGTTGAAGGAGAAGAGCATAGTGGGAGGTTTGAGAGCTCTTGATATTAAAACATACTGTATAACTATAATAATAAAAATAGCTAGGCACTGGTATAATAAGAGACATAGAGAGAAAATTCAGAGTCCATAAACAAATCCATATTACTTTGGACAACTGATTTTTGACCAAGGTGTGAAGTCCATCCATGGAAAAAAGAAGTCTTTTCAATAAATGTTGCTAGAAAAACTGGATTTCCACATCTAGAAAGGTAAAGCAGGACCCATGTCTTTCACCATACTTAAGAAAACAAAAACATTTTAAAATGAAATAAAGATCTTAATGTCAAACTAAAGCCCTAGAATTCTCGAGAGAACAAGCAGGAACAATCTTGTCAGAACTTGATTTCAACAATGAATATATAATATAACAACAGAAACTTCCTCTTTCTCTTCTGCCACTGTGTCAGAACCAACTTATAACTAACCCTCCGGTGGATTTCTGAGAATAGAATTTTATGGATGAAATCATCCAACTTTCTCCCTTAGAGCTGCTGGTGAATTAGAAGTACCTGAAAGCCACAGCCTTTGGGTTAGAAGCACAACTCCTTATGGACAAGAGCTCCCTTAATAAGAGGGATATAAAAAACAAAAGCAAAAGCAAAAGAAAGAAATGAGAACTCATAAAAATGAAACATTTGATCCTCAGAAGATTTTACCAAAAAATGAAAAGGCAAGATATTGACTGGGAAGATATATCTTCAGAAACCATTTATCTGACAAGACTCTGATAAAGAAAATACACATATAAAATATTGACGGTTTAATAACAAAATGTCAAAGAACTGAACCATAAATTGGGCAAAATAAATTGAGCAGACATTTCACCAAAGGGAACATTCAGATGGCCACCAACCACATGAAGAGAAGCTTAGCATCAGTTAACGATCACAGATATGCAAATAAAAAACCTACAATGAGACATCATTTCACTTCACTAGGTAAAGCAGTATTAGTCAATATGAGGCCAGGGCTAACTCTGGAATAGATCGTTAATTGCTCAAAGACTAGTTCAAATGGAAGCTGAAGAAAATGAACACAAGTCCATGAGAGCCAAAATACAACCTTGAGTTTATCCTCCCGAATTTAAAGACAATCTCAAAAGTATAGTCAGAGTTGACACGATAGCACTTTACAACAATATAATTAAAAAACAAGATTAAAAGCAAGCAAGCAAGAAAGCAAGTAAAACAAACACAAAACCATAGGTAATAATTTTTAAAAAACCCATACCAACCCTTGTTGTTGCTTGTTGTTAAATGCCATCGAGTTGTAGACAACTCATAGAGACCCTATGAATGAAAGACCTGAACACTTGTATAACTTTCATCCTTTCTCCAAGTTCATAGAGTTTCTGGAGGCAAGCTATTTCGGAAGTGGCTGCCATTCCTGCTGCCAAGCAGGAAGCTCCACCAAACATTGTCCACCATGGGTAATTATTACCACATTTGACACATCAGTGTCACAGTGTTCACCATCACAACAACCACGAGTTACCTCTGTACAGCAAATGGACAGACCAGTGCTATACCACTTAGAAGAATGTTTGACCAAAAACAATTAAAAACCAGGCCTCAGGAAAATAGTAAATAGTAAATGTTGGCCAAGATGTGGAGAAATTGGAATGTTTATCCATTCCTGGTGGGAAGGTGAAGCAGTGTGGCCATTGTGGAAAACAGTGTAGTAATTTAAAAATAAAACCTCCAAAAATAGTACAGCTGTATGACCTAGTAATTTTACTTCCATTCATAATAAACCAAAGGGAAACATAGCCTAAGTGTGAATGGATAAACAAAATATTGTTATACATATAAATGTATATCCATATTACTCAGTAGGAGAAATCAAGTCTTGATACATGCTACAGTATGAATGGAGCCTGAAGGGATTTTGCTACCCCAAATAAGTCAATCACAACAGGACAAATATTGTATGATCTGGCCTCATTTATATGAAAAGACAAAATAAAGCAAGTATATAAATAGAAAAGTTTGTGAGTGGTTACCAGAGGTAGGGAAGGGGAGGGAAAGATGATTTGATGGTGTTGGAATAATCACACTGATTAATGGGAGGGCTGCACAGGTAATTGTAATTGCTGTCAATAAATTGTACACCTTTAAAAAATTGAATTGGAAAATGTTGTAGGATGATAAATTTACAGGGAAAAAAGCAAATGTAGTTACTGAGACTGTTTATGCATATCCAAACACTTCACGGAATTTGGGGTTTGAAAGTTTAGGGTTACAGTTTCATGTGGCATTGCCGTTAATTGGCCTAGTAACATGTTTAGTCTTCTGCTCTACCTTCTAATTCATTGTGTAATACATGGAGGTCTCAGAAACTTGAAAGCAATCATCCAAGGCACAACAATTGATCTTTATTCACCTAAATTAAGAAAGGAAGAAGGAGAGTAAGCAGCAGCAGAAGGATATGGTATTTGTGGCTAATTACTCCCAAGAAGCTGCCATCTTTACTGTAATACCAGAAGGTACCTGGATGCCATGAACTCAATATTTTAATCAAAGATTCTATAGAAGAATCTTTTTCAAAAGAGAGAAAACTCAGAGGAGAATTTAAAAACTTGTCCTGAGATGATCTTTAAACGTTAAGCCAAAAATATTGCATGAAGTCATACTAAAACTAAACAATAACTAAGCTTAACTAGTGAATAAAGTCTGTCTCCAGCATTCTGTTCTGTCAAGAGCTGTCTCTATGAGATAATTTTTTTTTAAAGTTGAAAAAGGAGGTTGGAAACCTAAGGAGTAAAGTAATGAATTTATATTAATGAGGGAAGAAAAATTCTTTTGAAAAGATTAGAATGGCTTCACAACTTGAAGAATGTGGTCAAAGTCACTAACTTATAGATGTAGAAATTGCTGAATTTGTTTACTTCTTCATGAGTATATTCTCAGTATCAATAAAATAAAATGTAGGATGAACAAACCCCACTAAAATGAAAAGAAACATAAGAAACAATACACTGCACAATACCATTTGTGTGAGTAAAATACATACACATGTACAGACATACAGTAAATATTCTAAGGATGCATTTTTTTTATATCTCCAACTTGAAAAAAAACCCAACACAACACATCATCACCAAAACCCACCACAAACCTGCTCCTGATAAATTGATTCTGAAGTAAATAAAAATCACTTGATCATGCTTTGCTTTTATCATCCTCAATGTGCATGCTTTCTATTAAAGTAGCATTGATGAACTCAAAAAAAGCTATTATAACATTCAAAAAAAGGAAGTGGCACAATTTTCACATTTGTGTCTTGAATTAATGCCCATTATGACAAATAAATAGGAGCTTATTACCAATTTCCAAAGGAAATTAATAATAAGCAACTGTACTTGGATAGTTGTGCACCATACTTGAACTAACAACCCATGTTCAAGTTTACACATAACATTAGAGGTATAACTTGAAAAATACAGAAGAATGATTAAAGAATAAGAAACAGTATCACAGTTAAAAAAATAGCTTGTAAAACAATTGGCTTGTGTTATATCTTTGGGATCGTAAAATGAATATTAATTATGTTGCACACTTACCTTTCTTCCATTTATAAAAAAAATAATTTTATCAGGGTTGGGAAGAGAAGGCATTATTCCAGGACAAAGTGCCTCCTTCCGGAGAGAGCGATTTTCTGAAGTGTGGGTGACAAGCCGGAGCAATCCCTCAGACATCCAGGTAACCCCAATCTGGCAGTGGCAGAGTGACACAGATTTATTTATAGTTGCACAGCCAGGGGGTGCACCAGCCAGGGCCTGCCCATTACCTCCCACCACTTTAAGGAAAACCTCATAGCCACACCCTATCTCTTTCTCTTTTTGTCCCCACAAGAGGATGTTTCAAGCCAGGGAAAAAGAAATGAAAGTTTTTAAATAGCCATATAATTTTTTTTAAAAATAAGAAACCAAGTTATAAATCAATTCAATTCCATTCAATTCTATTAAAATGACACCTTCTCATTTTGTCACACACATAATTGAAGGCTTCAAAAAAATGTGCCTTTAAGATGCAGAGGTAACATCCTATGAATATCTTCTCACAGTTTGAACGCTCTGCAGAGCAGTTGTACTTTAGACACTTGAGTAAGGATTTGATGACAATAGACAATGGTAACAGCAGTCTTTACAAAAGTGGATCCCATTCCTTTCCTGAAGACCCTAAACACAACAGGAATCAAAATACTGTCTCTTCCCTTCTCATGAAGGCAACAAACAATATTGCTGAGCGCCTTTGAGCTAATTCTGACTCCAAACCACATTATAGGACAAAGTAGAATTGCCCTGTAGGTCTTCAGCAGGATGGATTACCACAGCTACTGCAACAATGGGCTTGAGTGTATGGGAGGTCACGAGGGTGGCACAGGACAGGGCAAGGTGCAGAACTATTGTTCATAGGTTGTTATGAGTAGTGGTCGACTCACTGGCTCATAACAACAATAAAACTTATCAGAGCAGTTTGCTAGGTCTTTTCTGCTGCACAGTGGGTGATGAGTTTCAAATCTCACACATTTGATTAGCAGCTAACAAAGCACTTAACCCGCGTATCAGCAAGGCTTCTTCAACAGACAGTAAACCAACCAAAATACATGCACACAACACTGTCTAGTGGTGATAAGAGAGAAAAAGAAAAATCAAGCAGGAAAAGTGCCTAGAAAGCCCTGGCAGCTAGCTGCCCTTTCCGCTCCGCCCTTCAGGGAGGACCTGAGAGAAGGGGAAGAAATGGGGGAAGAACTTTTCAGGCAGATGGAACAAGCACAAAGACTCTGAAGTTGGAATGTGCTCATCAGTGTGGTCAAAGACCAGCAGAAGGAAAGCAGCCGTAGCAATAGTAACAGGGGCACAGGCCTGCCAGGGCCAGACCAGGCTCAGGACTCCTGTAATCTTCACAACAGCTCTAAGGCATTGCCATCATCATGTTCCCTTTTTGGAGGAAGAAGCTGAGAGTGTTAAGAAACTGAGATGTTAAGTAACTTGCCCTGGGCCACAGAGTCAGTGGGGTGGCAGCAGAGTTTCTCTGGAGGTGAGATGGTGTCTTTAAACTCCTTGCTGGGCTGCAGAAGGAAGCAGGGAAGGAAATGAAGGAAAGGGGTAGCCCAGGTCCAAATTCTCTAGGGATGGTTTTGCAGGCATGGTAAGGGCAATGCAGAGCCTTTTACATTGGATGAGAAGGGGTGGGGTAGGGTGGGTGAGACAGGAATGACAGGATCTGGTTTAAGCCTTAAAAAGATTATTTCAGGAACTTCTGGATCCCCAGGACAGAGTAGGGAGATGGCAGGGAGTCCTGGTCACCTAGTGGTAGAAAGCTGTGCTGCAATCCCAAAGGCACATGGTTCAAATCCACCAGCTGCTCCAAGGGAAGATAAGCAATCTCCACTCATGCAACTTACTGCCTCTGAAAACCTGCTGAGAGGTCAGTTATGAGTCAGTTCTGACTCAATGGCACCATAACCACCACCACCACCAGGCAGATAGCAGCCCAGATCCTCTACAACAAAGACATTAGAAAACATAGATACAGATAAGAACGTACACAGATAATAATCCTGGAACCTTAAAATTCAAAGGAAATTATGAAGAAGTTAAAATGATGACTGAAGGAAGAAAAGGAATGAAAACATCAATAAGGAGACAAATGAGGTGGTAGTTTGTGAATGGATTTGACACAGTGCAGCTGTGCTCAACTTTTGCAAGCACCTTTCTGTTCAGGGAAGGGAACCAAGACACTAGTGATGTCCACATCAGTGGTGGGTGATGACAAGAAAGATGTCATTGCCCCCTGTTCCCTATACTCTCCTGGGGGTCATGGGAGTGACCGTCCTCTGTGCCCACCCTCTGGGTGGTTACCAGTGCTGCCCTGGGCCCTGCCCCACTTCCTCTGAGCTGTCATTGTGGATCTGGTGTTGAGTACAGGCCCTGTCCTCACATTTGGAGACACCCTCTCTCTACCTCTGGCACACATACAGGGATGCCTGGATGTGGTCCTAACCTGTAGCCAGTCCCTAGATTAACAGAATCATCATCTTCTCCGACCAGGATCTTTGTAACCAATTAATTGTCTCCTAATTGGGCAGAAACAGCATCTGGCAGGGTGTCATTATAGACTTGGCCCTGGGTGCACTCTAAGGCGTGAATGGAGTTGCACACTTCCCACCTCTTGGGGTCAGCAGTGTGTGCTGTCCCTAGACAACTGAGTTGGCAGTGACAGTCCCTGACATGCTGGGTGGCTGAGCGGACTGCCTGAGCTATCCCATCTCAGCTGAGTGTCTTGATATGGGTAGTCCTTCAGCTGGTAGATGCACTATCTCTAGCCAGACACCAAGTCCCGGGCTACCTGGGCCAGTGGAGGCTCTGCTCATAGGTGGGTACCTTGTTCTCACCAACCTTTCAGAGGAGCAAAAACTCTGTGCTGAACTAGTGAGTTTAAGACTAGTCTATCTTAATGTGGAAGCTCTACTGAAACCTATCTATAATGAATGACCCTGCTGGTATTTGAAATTGTTGTTTTGTTGCCTTTGAGTTGAGCATGATTCATAACAACCCTATGAACAAAAGGCCTGAAGCCTTTTTATAACTATTGGCATTTATCAACGTTCATAGAGTTTCCGGGGGCATGCTGCTTAGGAAATGGATGCCACTCCTCCTTCCAATACTAGCAGCATATTTTCCAGCATCACAGCAACATGCAAGTCACCATAGCCCAACAGATATGTGATGGTGCAGTGGATAGGGAAAAAATGAGTCACAGCTAACCTTTATTCAGCGTTCAACGCTGTTGTTAGGTGCTGTCAACTACAACTCATAGGAACCCTATGAACAATACATCTGAAGCTTGCCTTAGACTGTGCCAGCCACATGATCTCTGATATGTGGATCACAACAAACTGTGGCTAACTCTGAGAAGAATGAGAATCTCAGAACACTTGATTGTGCTTATGTGAAACCTATATTTGGACCAGGAGGAAGTTGTCAGAACAGAGCAAGGAAACACTGCATGATTAAAAATTGGGAAGGATGTGCACCAGGGATGTGTCCTATCTCCATACCTTTTTTTTAATTATTTTTTTTTCTCCATACCTTTTTCATCTATATGTTTGGCAGTTTATGGGCTTACTCAATACTTGTATCCAATACCACAATTTAAAAACATCAGTTATTCTTCTGACATCTTTATTAATTATCCAAATTTCAGATTTATAGGAAGTAATGGAAATTATCATGACTTGGAGAAGGCACACTTTAGTCTTTAAGTTTGTTAGGACTTTGGCAATGTTACTTACAGCGTATTTTCCCAATGCAACATGTCTTTTGATTTCTTGATTTCTGTTACCATGAGTGTTGATTAGGATGCTAAGTAAAATAAAATCATTATCAAATGCAATGTTTCCTCTACTTATTGCCTATTGGTCCAGTGGTGATGATTTTTGTTTTCTTGATGCTATGTAAACCAAATGTAAGACTATTTTCTTTGATTTTCTGCAAGATCAAAGTGATATATATATATGCTAGGCTAAATATATCTTTGAGCCATCTCATTTTTATATTCATAACAATCTTTGAGATGGGAATATAATATGGGGCACCCAGTGCTTTGAGAAGCTGGGTTTGTGCTGTATGAAATTTTTTTATTTTTGCATATCCTCAGCCACTGGTAAGATAGAAAAGAATTTCTTTCTCTGGCATAGATTGCCCTAAAAGAATATTAATTTCTCTGTGCAATAGAAGTTACTGCAGAGTTTCCCCACCTAAATTGGATTTATTTTGCTATTGTTGTTATGAGTGAGTCCTAGTAGAGCAATGGTTAAAGTGTTGACGAGAAGGTTGATTAAGTTAAACTCATTAGCCCTCCAATCTACATCCAAAAAGATTTAAAGCTTTGGACACACTATGGGGTATTTCTACTCTACTTTATTGGGGTGCCAAAAGTTAGAATCTACTCAAGAGTAGGGACTTCAGATTTTGATTCTGAATTGATGATATACACTAATTCAACATGCTATATGTGCACTTCAAGGACATTAATGACATTATTTGAGCTGTGCCAATTTTCACCCTCCTTTTCTGAGTTATTCCTTCCTCATTAATTTGGCATGAGCAGTCAGAAAATAAGGAGACATACTGTACTGGGAAAATCTACAGGTAGGGACTTCTCCAAATTATTGGGTAGTAATGATGTCAGCTCCTTGCACATTTTATTGTAATGTTTTACTTTGTCATCCCGTGCTGCCTTTTGAAATCTTCTGTTCAGCTCTTTAGTATCTTGAATTGTTCCTTGTGCTTTGGCTTCTCTGCATTCCAGTGCAATATTCAGTGTTTCTTCTGACATCCATTTTGGTCTTTTCTTCCTCTTC